TGTTTTTTTTTTTATGTAAATTTATTTGGAACTTGTAAATGTTTTTTTTTTTAAATGTAAATTTATTTGGAACTTGTAAATGTTTTTTTTTTTATGTAAATTTATTTGGAACTTGTAAATGTTTTTTTTTAAATGTAAATTTATTTGGAACTTGTAAATGTTTTTTTTTTTATGTAAATTTATTTGGAACTTGTAAATGTTTTTTTTGTATGTAAATTTATTTGGAACTTGTAAATGTTTTTTTTTTTATGTAAATTTATTTGGAACTTGTAAATGTTTTTTTTTAAATGTAAATTTATTTGGAACTTGTAAATGTTTTTTTTTAATGTAAATTTGTTTTCTGAAATGATCACTTGTTTTGGAACTTGTAAAAGACCTTGTATTGTTGGTTTGCACCTCCTGGCCACCGTACATAAGCAATGGAGATATTAATGTAATTCAATTCTATGCTTTGTCCAGCAGGTGGAGGTATTATACTTCTGCTTATATCATGTAAAAGGTGACCTGAGATCCCAAACAGGCTGATTACACAGAGATCAAAGGGCTTACCATAAAGAATATCCCAGACACAGAAACCATGAGACGACTGAGTTTGTCTGAGAAGGGCTGGAAGGGCTCGGGTTTTCCAGAAATGGGGTTGACTCTCTCCACCCGGGAGTATTTGGCTTCAAACTGAGGCCTCAGTTCCTCCTGATAAACAATCACATAATAACATCAAATCCAGTAAACTGGTTTAAATTAAACATTTAATGGTATTATAACAAAACTTATAACAATACCTCTTCCTCTTCCCAGTCGATAAGATCCCAGTCATACGTCAACTCTGCCCTCCTCCTTTTCCAAAACTCCAGGAACACCGTTGCTGCAGAGGCAATGGGGAATTTATCACGTTATTGATCTGCTCTGATATGAAGCAGACAGCAGGACTGTGTGCAAATGGGGATTTACAGAAGATGCAGTTCAAGGCCAACAGCCCATCATCAGACATCCTGAGTGAAATACAGGCTGCGGAGATGTGCAAGGCCCATTATGGAAACTGATTACAGTCATCCGTCTGACGCTGCGTTGCCTCTGTGCAGAAGTTAAGAAAAATGGCAGCAGTATAAAAGCTTTAGTCGCTCAGTGTTCGACCCGAGCATGTATTTCATTTTATAGTGTAAAGCTTTAAAATGAAAGCTTTCAGACTGGAGGCTTTTCTCTTTTGTGTCGGGCTCTGTTGTGACTGGAGCTGCACACTCTAGAAACAATGCTCTTTGTCAAGTCTCAGGGTTTTTCCACAGCCCCCAAAAAAAGCTTTCATAAAAGCTTGGTGACAAAAACACTGCATGGTTTCCTGTATTCTCAGACCTACATTCATCTTCTGCAATTTTTCTAATGTTCTCACTGTGAAGAAGTGCAACTGCCTCCCTAGACTGGATAGAAAGCATCTTCTAACTCAATT